CAATTTGACAGTTGACAGTTTATTTATCGCAATCGACGCTGATTGGTTCGCGTTTAGCAGATGCGAAAAGGGGATGATTGAATAAAACGCATGGTTCCGTGCAGGCTCACCTTTCTCCCAGTGAGCCTGTTCGCAGGCTAAAATGCATTTAGTATTGCATACTGTACATACACGGGGTTATATTTGTTACAATAAATGTATTTTAAAAAACGCGTTCTTGTATGTATGTATGTTTTAATTTCAACCGTTTTATGCAGCACTCAATTTCAAAATTATTGATTTATTGCATGTTTTACGATATGTACATCCCTGCATCCATGAGAATTGTGTCACATTTATGCAAGCATTGATATGCATGCATCAAAAGATATTTTCAAAAGCGCGATATGAAATTCAAAGATCAAAATCTGTGCATATATACCGGGTGGCGCAAAAAAAAGTTCACGCGTTTGATTTAGTACAGCGAAAAAACTATAAGTGTTACGTTCCTCAAATAAATGTTATCCTATCCAGGAAGGCCTAACTTAAATTTTTATGTATAATACATGCATTTTTGTTTAGTATTACCCAAGATATTGGTAAATCAATTTGAATATGCAATTTCAAAACGTTCCAAAATTAGCTGAAAATAGCCTATTAAATACGAGTAAAGGAATTAACGATATATGAAGAACACAACGGCAGTAAATAACGCGTTTATCATGGAAAATTAAATAACTATATTCTTGCACGTGTGACCATACTATCGAACGAATTAACGTTGGATTTATTTGCTGGTCAAAGTTATGGCAATCAGCAATAATCGCTTCACGAAGCTGTCTCAAATTGTTCGGTTGTTGCTCAAATTGTTCGGTTGTTGATCTAATTTAATTCCCTGTAGCTATGGGACATGGAATACTGCGAAGCAATTCTTAATTAAAAGAGCCATCTTTTTCGAAATTTTGTTGCTTTTCAAATGATAATAAAACAAATAAATAAATAAGGAAAATCATTCGTTGCACGTTTCAATTCAAATTAAATTCATACAAGCGAATATGTCTGACGAAATTCTAAAATTTATCAAAACAGTTTAATAGGCCATTTTTAGCCAATTTGTCAGATTTTCAAAACTTCGTTCCAAATTTTATTTGGCGATATCCCAGTCAATATTGCACGTAAATAAGCATGCTATAGCTCAAAATTTAAGTTAGACTATTATGAATACAGCCACGTTTATTTCAGGGATGTAACCCTTATAGATTGTTCGCTGTACTAAATCAAACAGTTATACTTTTTTTTGCGCCACCCGGTATATATATATATATATATATATATATATATATATATATATATATATATATATATATATATATATATATATATATATATATATATATAAAATATATATATATATATATATATATATATATATATATATATATATATATATATATATATATATATATATATATATATATATATATATATATATATATATATATATATATATATATATATATATATATATATATATATATATAATGCAAATAAAGAAGCATGACTAAAGCGAGGTAAACTCCCACTTACACAAAGTTTGATCAGTTTATGAAAGGTGATTAATTTCTACTTTACGTTATTTTAACAGTCTTTAATCAACGGATTAATTCAGTTTTAATAAACTTTAGCCAACAAGTCTTTCTATGATTAAATACAGGCTCTGGTCAGAATACCAGGGAGGTCTTATATAGCTTTTATGGGGGGGGGGGGTAAATCTAGCTTGTTAGCTGGATTTGCTTTGCAAAAGATGTATCATTGAATAGATGAACACAAGAAAAATATTATACTGCAAAGAAGGGCTAGATGATAGACATGACATTTTTGCAGACAATAGCATGCATACTGTAAGATAAGACTTTTGGTAATAAATAATACTGGGATTTCCATTTCATGTTAAACATTGACTTACTTTATATTAGTCATTTACAGTATTAATGAATTGAAATGACATTTGCTAGGCTGCATGTTTATATTTTATTTTTATAGTATAAAAATAAAATTGTAATAGTATGAAATAAAATACATTTCTGTTCATTGACCAGTACTTATTTAATGTCTTCTTCATCCAGTGGTCAGAGTAGATTTCTACTTCTTGCAAGTAAATATTTGACAAGCAGTCTGGAATAAGCGCAGGAATAAGCACAATAAGCCATTTTATAGTAGCAATATGAAAAGTTTTTTTCTTTTTCCATGACTTTTAATGCATCAGCCAAATCCAAGTGTGCCCATCCCCCTCGCCCAGCCATTTTGCTGTAAAGCACATCCCGGGGGTTGGGCATTTCCACTCGAACTTTATGCACTTATCATCGGCTTCCCCGGGGGTCGACCCCTGGGACACCCCAGGGTCGCCCCATGTGAGGTAATCCAGGATGTATTTGGATTCCGGGTCCCACTGGTTGGATTCCGTATCCTACTCTTTGGATTCCGGATTCCACATCTTGGATTCCGGATTCCGGAACTGTAGTGGATTCCGGATTCCAATTTATTATTTTGTGTATTCCAAAGCCAATAAATAAACTTTCAGTTCCCAGTGCGCCTGTTACTGTATATATTATCAAAGACGTTTTGATAATAAAAGATATGATATAGCTTCAAATAAGTACATCAAAATTATATATCGACACTCTGTAATGCAACTAACATTGTTTTTGTTTCGCGGCAAGGCCCTATTCAGAAACCTTTCTAAAAATTTAATTGCGGTGTCAACGGTGCGAAAGAGCAACGATTTTTAACTTCCGGGAAATTATTTTTGATTACCTCAAAATTCCACGCGTGTCTTGGTTTACTCATGCTCTTGACACTTATTGTTCTGGTAAAATCAGACATAACAAAATTACAATGAATACATTTTTTCTGCAATAAAATTACGAAAAATCGCGCCGAGTAGATGGTTGTTTCACTATCTAACAACGAAGAGACATATGGCGAGTAGCTCAGCCTAGTAACAATAAATATGAGATAAATATACTATTTTATAATCTATATAAAGACTACCAAACTTTCATGATCCAGAAAATGTGTCACAAGTTTGCTATTCGGTTATTATTCTTGGCCACTGATACTGCATTTGTAACAGAAATCTACTCAAAACTGTGTAACGGAACATCCTCTAAGTGCTATTGTAACAATCCAGTGTTTGTATTAATCAGACATAGCATAAATAACAATTACTTTAATTACAATATTTCGAAGTATAGCCTTCTCTTTAGGTAAGCAACGCAACTGCATGTAAAGGCATGAAAACTTTAACTTTAAACACTTGAAACATTAATGCATGTCAAACAACTTCATATCTTAAGAACATGGAGCTATACTTCGAATTACTAACTAATCCCTGTGGCTTATTATGACTAAACCTGTGGTTTAAAGCACGATCATGGGTTTTACGTTGGTGGAGTTATACTTCCGTGTGCATCAAATAACTTATATTTTATCTTACAGAGCCTGCTCAGTCCTCTCCTGTGCTTCGACACCCATTCAGATATTCTGCCCTTACCCGCTCTCTTCAGTACAAACTAACAGTTAGGCATCAAATCGCTATCATGGGCGTGTCTGAATAAAACTATCATCAATCAATCAATTCAAACACTGAATTACACAAACTTGGAAATGTTTCTATCACTCAAATACTGTAATGCATAGGGATAAAATGAATAATAATTGTAGAAACATGTATCGCTATAGCTGAGAAGGAAATGCGTTGTTCTTCCAGACAGGCTGACACTCTTCTTCCATCTCTTCTTCCATCTCTTCTTCCACATGCTATTGTCTCCAGTTTCCTCATATGCGTTAGCAATGCGTGATAGTTGAATGTTCTTCTCCGGAGAGACTAGAAACTGCATGTTCGCGTTGAAACAAAATCCCGCAGGAGTCGGCTATGATACACTTCGGGGAGTTCTTGTCACAGGTATCACCCATAGATATCTTATATACACTAGATAGCGCATCTCTTTAATTAAAATTGAAGCCAAGAATATTCCAGCGGTTACCCCCATTTGAATAGATGGCGGCCATGTTAAAGTTTCCCACTCGCTAAGAAACGCTTAAAAAACAATAACTTTCATCATTTGAACAGTTTGAAAATGTATTTGGAATAGGTTTAACTTAATGTTTAAGTTCCCTGTTTAAGAAATGGAAAACATACGAGTCTTCTCATTTCATGGGAATATCCTGAGCCTGCAATCACAGCTTCAATTTTTGAATTGCAGAATGGATCCTCTGTTTGGTTAAGCCATCGAATGCTCATATTGTTTCAGTAAATGCAGCTAAGAAAATTAAAACCAAAAAAGCCGTATACTCTGATCGGATAAGTAATGAAATAATAAGTCAAGTTCGGACATTCTTATAAAGGGATTTAGAAAGATATTCAATACTATATTAAAGACTGGACATTTTCCATCATCTTGGTGTGAAGGTCTTATTACCCCAATTTTTAAATCCGGAAACAGACTAGACCCAGACAATCATAGAGGAATATGTGTTTCAAGCTCCCTGGGGAAATTATTTTGTTCTATCCTCAACAATAGATTAATGACTTATGTAAATGAAAAC